CCTCACGGCTCTAGCTGTGTTTCTAGCTAAAGCGTTACGGTTTGCGCTTCTCAACTGAACCAGAGACAACGAGCTTAACTGCAGAAATGCAACGGACTCCGTTCGAATCGATGCTTAGTCGTTCTTTTTCACTGCATTAGTCATCTCTTTCTTTCGTGCAAAAGAAATTTATTTATCCCGGATAACGTTACTCCTGCTAAAGATTCTTTCATCCTTTATTTTCGACGTCATAATTTTTCGGCCTGACCGACTGAACCATCTTTCAACTTTGACCGAGTACCTGTCGATTCGCAACGATACGTGTCAAAAGGATTCATTGAAACAGTATGAACATGTCACTTTGAACATTGTTCATCAGTGACACGACCAACGTACGAACGGGATTGCGATTATTTTTCAGTGGGCGAGCAGGATCGCCTGTTCTCGTCTTTGTCGAAAAATCATTAGACTGACCGCTACCCGTGTTAATCATTACCCAAGAGCAGCGGCGCCACATATCTTTTTCACTCTCCGTTATTCGATTACGGCTTAACGAATGGATGAAATAATACAGGGAGCGAGAGTGAGGTTAGTGGAGAAAAATTGGCGAGAATGAAGGTGCAGAAGAAAAAGTCTCCCGGAGGATCCCAAGGATTGTAAACGGGAGCAACGGGAGTCAGTGGGTCGGCTACGTGCTCAGCCTCGAACACAAGTCGGCACTGCTTCTCAAGGAATCCGTGAAGAAGTTCAAGTTATTCGAGTACCTGGAAAATGTCATATCTCCGGTATTGTCGCAGAGTCCTCGGGCTGAAATCATAGACAGGACGATTATCCTGAAATGCAGTAAGCCGAGTTGAATCCTTGTGACCGACGGAACGATATTGCCTTGGGGTACGTGGCGGAGCAACTTTTTCCTGAGTGGCCACTTCGTATAACTCAATTCTTGACGTGACCCGACCGACCTTCGACCTGACCACTACCAAGCTCCGGAAGAGTCAAGTCGGTGAGAGCCAGGGACGAAAGCGGAGACTTGGGAAAGACTTGAGTGAACTTGGAGAATATTGAGGTCTCGAGGATGGAGTCCAAGAGAGTGGGGTGCAAGTCCAGGGAATCTTTCCCGGGCAAATATATTAATTCAGCGAATTGCTGGTACCTAAGGTCGTCGCTGCGTCGGTTGCTGGTTTCCAACGTAAATCTGAACGCGGAAATGGATGATGATCAGGAGATCCGACCAGCACCTACCTTTGGATCAATTTAATTTTGTGTCTACCGGTACTTGCTATGATAATTTTTTTAACTATTTGGTGCACGTGTTCTCCCTGAGGGGGTTGAACGAGACGTCCTTAAACCTAGAAGCGCCGGCAAAGAAAATTGAAAAGATCTATAACGTAATTGAGGGCTGATCTTTGTGGCTGCGCTAGCCTCAAGGAGGCACGATTGATCCGCGTTCAAGATAATAATCTCATTAGTTGACATCTTCATAGATCTTGATTGCTAAAGAGATAGGGAAAAAAAGTTAAGAGTTAAATACTCACGTTCGGCACATTGTAGCTGTTGTATTGTTCTTTGGGACTTCCACCTCCCTGCTCGCACTGTTTGTTCTTGAAAGCCCTGTAGTTCTCCCTGAGCTGCTTTCCGTACTGCAAGACAACACGGAGCAATGGTTATTGCATTACATTAAGAATTGCTTGAATGACAGTGAAGCTCAAGCGAGCAGATAGAAGTAGTACAGACCGACCGAACCGAATGAAGCAAAGACACGAGGTGGTTAAGGACAGTCGGATGATTCATGCACGAGGCGACGAATCGCCCAAATGAAATATGTTTACTTTAGAACGAAGGAGACACGAAACCAGTGCAAAGACAGAGCGTCGAGCAGCCCGTGACGTTGTTACCGCTTTGACAAACAAAGCGCCCTCCGGCCGCTGCGCCTGGTAACTCTGGCAGTTCGGAAAATCGTTCATCAGACCGGAAGACGAGGGGAATCGAAATGCGGCGGGCCGTACTACAGGGCTGTAGGCCGAGAGCCGAAGATAATTTAATGGAGGCCCTCCGCCAGCCCTCTGCCGAATTCAACTTTCGTAATTTCCTGCGTTACGTCGAATGACGTCCGAGCGGCCCAACGCTGCAACTTCCCCAGCAGCATTTCCATCAAAGCCCGAAATTTTCGAGGACTCTATAATGTCCTTTCCATGTCGCCA